ATATATATATATATATATATTACGAGACCTTCATTGATTCATTTTCTGATGACATATCTCAAGAATTAAGCTGGAATATATATGAAGCTTTTAACAGCAAAGTATTCACCCTTTCGGCCCTTCAGGCAGCATCACACTGAATCAAATATACTGCTAGGAACAATTGTTAGAACAAGTTCTCACAAGTATGATGCTTTCATATAAATGGTTTGTATTTACTAAATATAAGAATAGTCATGTCATAATGATTTGTCTTTTATTCCACAGTACTATATGAAAATAGCAAAACAAATCTAATGCTTCAGGTCAATCTTACGATTATAATCACTAATCGTATACAGGTCATCTAAATCTCATTCTATCAGTTTACATTTATCAAAAGCAAAATTTAAAAAAATTTTAGATGCTGCACCATGGTAATACGTGAAAATTTAACTTCCAAATAGATGAATAATCTGTGATTATTTGAAGGTTTTAAGTGTTCAAGAATCTCTCTACTAGCCTCTTATTATAAAAGTCATAAGAATGAAGTAGTTTTGGAACAGTAGAAGATTAACTGAATTCAAATCAAACCTAATTTTCACGGACTGGATGAAATATTCACGTGTTTAAACTAGAAATTGAATTTTTCTGATTCATTTGCTTGTCATGATCCCAGTTAAGGCAAAAACAATAGAACGGAATGAAAATTAATTGAGGAAAGTCTTAAGTTTTCTTGCAACTCTGATATTTAACTAAGGGATTTTCATCCCTAAACTAGTAAGTAAGTAAGAATTAAGCAAGTAAAGTAACTATTAGCAGATCTGTTGATATGTGCATTTTTCGATGTAAGTATTATCTACTATTGTCAAGTTAACCATGAGACTTCGCTCTTGGTTAACTAAAGTATTCAGACCATAAATCTTAATCAGCATGAAAGTAGTAACCGTATCCAAAACGGAAGTATTAAAGTTATGGGATGTACCGTGACTTCCCCAGGTTCATTAGGAGACTATTCATAGAAATCACTAGTTTATGTCAATCAAATACAACTAATCAGAATAATTTCTAGTTTATAATCTTCAATTTTAAAATTCCTAAACAGATAAGGTCTACAGTTTGCAACAAAAGTCAAAGAAACTCAATAATCCTTAAAAGTGACAACAATTATTGTATCTATCGCCTATCACATCCAATTCAGATTTAGTAAAATTCTAATTACGCAAGTGTTTTGAAAGTGATCTACCTACTGTTGACAAGTGCATGAAAAGGTTTCTTTACTCTCTAAGCTGTCTTTCAAATAGTGTTGACTGTATATAAATATGCAGACGTGTATATGTACTCCTCCTGACTACTACTGATTTTATCATTGCCTGAAAAATTTAACAGCTGTTTAGAAGCTATACAGTCCATCTGAGTAGTTCTATTGTTCCATTACTTTTTCACTCATTTATGTTTCTCATTGACAGTTATTCAGTTGAGACAACAGGTTTTGGTCTTCAATACGATGGAGGAATGAGATAAACTACCGCAAAACATAAATGATTAGGCAGTGTACACATTGAACTGCATTTTTCGTTAACTAGATAAGAATGAATTGAAAATCTCCTAATGGTTCCCTATATTTCAGGCTATGATTATCAGTGATGCACCTGAAAATATTCATCTTCGAATGTTTGGAAATTTATCTTGAAAACGTTTGATGATACCATCGTAGAACAGATGGAAAACTTTTGAGTCATTTGGAGTGTCATCATTATACCTTTGATCAGTAAACAATCTCCGAAATTTTTATCCAGTGTTTAGCATATGGATTCGTTCAAGTTATTTTGGCGCGCTCAGAGTGCTGAAATAACTTAACTCATCAGACTGTACATCTTCAGGTAAAAAGATGAAGCTATCCTAGTTAAGCAGGTGAAATATTCTACAGTATTTATATCATTATATCATTATCAACCTCATTTAACAACTATGTGAAGACGGCACATGCTAAGTAATTCACAATGAGAAACTCAGTGATGCCCTTGAAGTGAAGACAGGAGTAAAACAAGGCTGTCTACTATCACCCATGATATTCCTGATTGTGGTCGACTGGATCATGCAGGAAACTGTGAGGAGCGGGAAGAGGGAGATACGCTAGCTGAACCGGGGAAAACATCCTAGAAGATTTGGATTTCGCTGATAACTTGTGAATAATGTCACACAAACTTGAAGATGTGCAGACGAAAACTAACAAGTTGACAGAAGAGGCAAGGCAGCGAAGACGGGACTTCAAGTGAACACGGAGAAGACGGAGATGATGAAGATACCCAACCAACACCACAACCATCAATAACAAGCTCCAATCAACATGAACGAGAGGAACTTAAAAGAAGTAACCTCTTTCACCTCGTTACTGAAGCTCAGGTGGCCAGAAAGAATAAGTAACAATGACCTCTGGCCGTCAGTGAACCGGCGAAGAATCTATCATCCAACAAATATACAGAAGGAAGTGGAGATGGATTGGGCATACACTGAGAAAGCCGACTGGGGACATCACGCCTCAGGCCAGTTCCTCGAATGGAACCCAGATGGGAAGCGACGAGTTGGGCATCCAAGGTGTGGGTGACATGGAGGATATGGTGTGAAGAAGAAATGAGAGCTTGTGGGCTGTCGTGGAGCCAGGTTAAAAAGTTTGCAGAGAAGAGAGTGTACTGGAGACGTGCTACTGAAGCCTTATTTTCCACTAGGAACCCTATGGACCCTAACAAATAATTGAAAGGATATTTTATGCTACTGATATTTGTTTAAGTAGCTAAATTTTACTATACTATTAGTTTTCGAAATCATGGACTTCAGTTGAAAGGAAAATTAGACCAAACTATTTTATTCTGAGAAATGGTTTAGTGAGATGACTACAAGCCATCAGATCATAGTTTTGAGCGCATATCCACCTATCAAGGTCTGGACAGCCAGGGAGTATCACTAGCCTTCGTACAAAAGTTATGTCTCATGGCCTAATGTACGGATGTGTACATGGTAGCTGAGTGCATTTCGTTCGTTTGTTGATAGTACTAAACATTCATGAGGATTATATAAGCATATCATCAATGAGTTTTGAGTGAAACACTTAGCCGGTTGATTCACTGGAATTTCTTATGGGAAAGCTTCATAGCAAAATTTTGAGTTACTTTCTCAATGAAACTGAGAGAATATGCATTACAGCAGATTTATGAATTAGCTGGGTGATGTTTAAATGTCTATGAATACTTCACACACATATAGTACTACATCTGCTTTCTCTATACTCTCCAGTTATCATCATTATTGAGAACTACCACATTTGAGCAATCTAGACTACAAAATGAAACATCCCTTTCTACATTGCTACATTGCTCATTTAGAGAGATTAAGAAACGAAACGCGGTAGATGTGGTTTGATGCAATTTCATGCTTGGTTAAGTCTAGGTATTCGTAGATAAAACAACCATTTGTCCACAAGTTATTTGCATCTTCATTCTGTCTTCCATTTTCATCTTTTAGAATTTTTAATATTTTGGGACTCTAAGCTACTTCTTTGTTTAGCAAAAATTTGCTTCAGCTAGACAACTGATTCGACCGATAAGAATTCTATCTAAAATCTAATTACAAAAAAAGCCAAAAGTTATTAAAAATCTTGTAACAACTTAACTATTATTAACAAGTGCACATGTACTAGGGAAGGAATTCATGAGGATAATAAATATGTGTTAATTTCGAGATTGTACATGAATTAAAGAAGTCAATCAGTTACTTATACTTCTTTGTCATACTTATGGAGATGGTTATCAATGTTGGAGATGGAATAAATGCATTAGTCGTAAAGCGTATATGAGAAACCATTTTCAGTGTAAATTCACCAACCAAAATGCAATCCTGAAAACTGAAATATCTTTTGATTTATCTATCAGTTATCCAGTAGAGCCGTAAGATCGAATAGTATTCTTGTCTGTTTCGTTATATGAATCTAAGACATGGATACTGGGACGAAAGTCATTCATGCAACACTTTTTAGGCTTGGGAAATATATATATATATATTTATCCAGTTTGAGATTTGTGGGGATTATATTTATTTAAAGATAGTATTCATCATGGGCTGATATCAGCTGAAAAACGAGTGAAAACCTGACAGAACAGGCGTCGCAGTAAACGCGTTAACCATTTAGACAGTAGATCGTAGTTCAACAGTCCACTAATTCCAGCTTCTGTCAATTCCCATGAACTTCGAACTAAATTACTGCATAATGTTCATTGGTGACATCCTTCAAGATGGACATCCCAAAATTCTAGTGAGAAGTTGCAACATATCAAGCCTACCAGTCGAAATTGAAGCGCATTCCAAACGAAGACTTCAACGGATACTCGTTCTATACTGGGTACTGATAGATGTAAGAAGCTGTGGACCATTGAACTTTGACCCACAGACTAAATGGTTGACGTGTTCACCGCTAAACCTGAAGGTGATGGGTTTGATCTTTGACTGAATCATCGGTGTGCGCTGCTGAAGAGTCCCAACCTAGGACGAAACAGCTGTCTGGTTCTCCCAGATTTTAAAACGCACGGTACACAAAATATAATCTTTCCAGATGTTCATGGTATTGTCAATCATTGGTGAAACTGGAACACTTAAGACTTCTTCCTTTTCCCATATGTAATGACTTGAAATCATTTTCTTTTCATTTCTGTTTTTCACTCAATTGTTAATAATGATCTCATAGACTAAGAGTGAGTCATCCATAAACCTACTGGTGTTATGTATGAGAAAGTAGTAATACCGGTATAAAACATCAATAAAATTAATAGTGATGGTACCAGTCAACCACCGCTTATAAGTTTATGCATTACACTATGAACTACAATCATAGAATGATGTTTATACATACTATCCAATTGTTTAAACATCCGAAAACAGAACATAGTTCAAACCCGTGACAAAATAAGAAATATTACAGACTATGTTTAGAATTTACATGTTATATTCAAAGAGAACAAAGCACATACCTTCTCTCTCCTTTCTTTCTCAGTCTCCTGAAAGACAGAAATTCATAAACCTTGAATTACAACAAGTTCAAAAACATAGATTAACTACATTAATACACACATCTAAGTACAAAAAGATAGAAATATTTATTTCAATGCTTACGACATTTATTACACAGCTAATTGTTGAGACATATATACATATATAAGCATATTCAACATTCATGCTTTATAGACGATGTGAAAACTGGAAAGAATGTAAAAGTTATAAATGGCATTTTTTTTTCGATATAAGTGCCGTTTTCTTTACGAGGAAATACACAATAACTAGGAGAATAGAAGTATTTAGACATGCATTCTAGCTATTCTCATGCAACTACTAGCGGAAATAAGAATAAGTAATTTATAGTGGATATGATCTCTCCCCCTCCTACAAGTTTATAAGAAGGTAGTATATTGAAGTTCGGTATATATGAAGTGATAGAACAGACTGATAAAATGATAAATTAACGAATAAATTCAGTCCACAGTTATCATTAAGAACATCATCATCGTGCGATCCATGAAAGCATGCATTAAGGATCCGTTAAGGCTCAGTCTTATTATTTCATGGATACTACATGATATTTAAATAAATATGAATAATTGAAAACTAAAGTATGATTTATATTATGATGAGTTTTTAAAAAAATTATCCGGTCTTGATTTTTGTTACTTTGTTTTGCAAGGTATTTTTCACCAACGTCGACACTTTGAAAAGTCTAACATACTAGATTGATTTTCTTTAGCCTACACTATATTAACAGTGTTTAAAGAAGTTGATGCCAAGTAATTCACAACGGTAAGCTCAGTGATGCTTTTGAAGTGAGGACAGGAGTGAAACAAGGTTGCTTACTACCCTCCATGATATTCCTGATTGTGGTCGACTGGACCATGCAAGAAACTGTGAGAAGCAAGAAGATGAGCATACGTTGGACCGATGAAAAGAGCCTGGAAGACTTGGATTTCGCCAACGTTGACTTGTGAATAATGTCGCACAAACTTGAAGATCTACAGGCAAAAACTAACAAGTTGGCAGAAGAGGTAAGGCAGCGAAGACGGGACTTCAAGTGAACACGGAGAAGACGGAGGTGATGAAGATACCCAACCAATACCACCACCAACAACAACAAGCTCCAATCAAAATCAACGGGGAAAACCTAAAGGAAGTAGCCTCTTTCACCTATCCAGGCAGCACTGTTTCAACGACAGGCGGCACAGGCACAGATGAGGACGTCAAAGACCGCCAGCATCGAAAAGACAGCAAAACAGGCGTTCATTAACCTGAAATCAGTGTGGACATCGTCTGCACTCCACTCCACTCCACTCAGCCAGCACAAAGCGTCAACAACATCCAGATTTTCAACACCAACACCAGTCAAGTGAGTCAGTGCTCCTGTATGGATCAGAGACTTGGCGCGTTACGAAAGGGATTTCCAACAAACTACAGACATTGATCAACAACTGCCTACGCTGCCTCCTTACTGACGATCAGATGGGCAGAATAATAAGAATAAGCAAGGAGGAAGTGTGTCTGGTCGGTTGGGTGGTGACTAACCAACCAAGAAGCTATCTCTGAATAAATATGCAGAAGGAAGTGAGAAGGCCGACTGAGGACATCACTTGCCAGACGAGGCACTCAAGTGGAACCGAGATGGGAAGCGATGAGTTGGGCGTTGGAGGTGAGGTTGACACTGAGGAGATCGTACGAATAGGAAGTGAGAGCTTGTGGGCTGTCGTGGAGCCAGGTTGAAAATATTTCAGATTAGAGAGTTCGCTGGAGACGTGCTACTGAACCCAATGGACAAATAAATATTAATAATAAAAGAAGTTGATAAGTGTCTTTCATTCATTTGCGCTTTCTTCCTAACTTCAAAATGAAACAAACCTCCTCTACTTGATATATAAAGTTAATGAAATGTATTAAGATTTATATTTTCAGCGGTAAGCAGTTACTTTATTCTATTTCAATGGCTTCTGCCCGCGTTCATATGGGACTTTAGATTGAAAGCATTTAGGATACTGGTTTATGTATTGTATTACTTTGACTATTCAGTAGTTCTACATGATAATCACCAATATATGAAATTGAAAAAAAACTTCACCACTAGAATGAAAATGCATTAGCAAGTATAAATAGCAGCTTTATCTCAGCTTTTATTCAGATATAATGAACTTTCTTCTCTAATATATAACCAAAGTATGTTAAATAGCATGCCAGTAAGCTAATTTGATACATCAGAATAAAAACCTGTAGATACAACTAGATATAAATGATTCGTTTCGCAGCAGTAAACGATGCACTAATAAATATCTAACACAATTTTCTGTGCATCGTATTTACATATACTAATACACGCATACGAACAAAAATACATTTAAGCGGTATAGTATGTGTGTATGTGTATGTATGTATGCGCTAGTGTATTTATACTTTTGCATTGTTTTTGTTCAAGCAACTAAAAGCCCACCTCTTCAGACTCTTCCTCAGACTTTAACGATCACATTGTGTTGGATTATATCAGATCATTATTAGATCAAATTGAATCATACAATAAAACAAGGATAAATAAAACTTTTCATTAGAGAGTATAAGTGTGCATTTTCAAAAAAATTAGAGAGAAAAAAATGAATCAATCACTTAGAAATAAAAAACGGTTAACATTTCCTTTTCTCAGAATGAGAAACATTTCATCAGGTATTTTTCATTGTAAGACAAATCCAGGTGAATAAATCCAATCACAATGAAAATAGTTAAATGTTACTGGCTTAACCAAGCAAGTCGCAGGATTTTCAATACCAAGCCAACTTTCTTTTCGTTAAAAATTGACACTACTTTTAAATTTAAAAGTAGTGTAAAATATCTTAATAAACATTTAACGGGTTTGTGGATGACTAACATCGCAAAAATGTACAAGATTTCTAATGATTTCCTTTCAAAGTGACTGGAGTAGCAAAAGTACAATAATTTTCAAGTTAAGGGAATGATAGGACTTAGCTGTCTATTTACGCTATAGGACATTATAGGGCTGCTTATATTATGCTTGGAAATTTACATTTTGTGAGAAGATAAAAAATGAACTCACCTCTTCAGATGAACTGCGAATAAAAGAACAGAAAAACAATCATGTTGTTAAACGTTAGAAAATATTTGACAAATTCAGAGCAATCTACGGTGCTACATTAACTTTTCCTTTCAGATAATTTAAAGAATTTTTCAATGAGGTTTATCATCCTGTTCATAGATCGAGTATATTGACTCATTGAGTACATCTAAAGTATTCACCATTTTTGGAAAAGCTTGAAATGTTGCCTACCTTTTGATCACTGAACGACTACAGAACAAGCTAGTATTCGAATTAAAAAGTTATGAAAACTACGGTGCTTAAAATATTGCCAAATAGTACAGTTTCAGCTGTCATTTAAAACTGATTACCTGAAGTTGGTAATTTTAATGAGTAGAATTCATATTTCAAAGTTCATTCATATTCTTCGCGCTGTGGCTACTATTCACATGAGTAGGCGTCGCCAGTTTTTAAATATGTCAAAGTGTCCTTGGTTTAAATCACAGTGTTGTAGTGGGTTTTCTATGTTTATGCTTCACTAAATCCAATATTTATAAACAGTATCATGTTAATTCAAATAAAATATCCTTGGCTATATTTCAAATATGGAGATGGATTGGGCATACACTGAGAAGACCATTTGAGGACATCATGCACCAGGCCACGCCCTCGAGTGGAACCCATATTGGAAACGGTGAGTTCGGCATCTGAGAGAGCTTGTGCGCTGTCGTGGAGCCAGTTTCAAAAGATTGCAGAGAACAGGGTGGAATGGAGACGTGCTACTGAAGCGGTCAGTGCTTCTGTATGGCTCAGAGACTTGGTGCGTCACGAAAGGGATCTCCAATAAACTACAGACATTCATCAACAACTGCCACCTACGCTGGCTCGCTACTGAAGATCAGATGGCCAGAATAGTTAGAATAAGCAACAACGAACTCTGGGAACGAACCAACCAACAACCTATCACCCAACAAATATGCAATGGAAAGAAGTGGAGATGGATTGGGCATGCACTGAGAAGGCCGACTGGGGACATCACGCGTCAGGCCAGGTACTCGAGTGGAATCCCCATGGGAAGCGACGAGTTGGACGTCCGAGGTGAGGGTGACATGGAGGAGGTCGTACGAAGAGGAAAGGAGAGGTTGTGGGCTGTCATGGAACCAGGTTCAAAAGATCTCGGAGAACAGAGTTCACTGGAGACGTGTTACTGAAGCCCTGTGTTCCACTAGGAACCCAAGGGACTAATAATAAAAAAAATAATGATTTCAGCGGAGAATAATATAAAGAAAGTGGAAAGTAACAGTTCGACGAACAGATTGTTTTCGGTAATTCCATTCACTAAGCTGTATGATGGCATTTACATACTCAATAAGTAGGGTTTATGCAAAATAAAACTCATTGTATATTTCACTGTTTAAGAAATACTTTAGTCTGTCATGCTAAGCTATCCTGAAAAGCTTAAATTATCAGTAACATTTAAACTATCCATCCAGTTAGTTGTTTGTATCAACAGTTTTATAATAGGACTTATATTTAACATGAAACAATTACTTCGAGTTCCAATAGATATTTCGGAAGTGAAGATCCTACACAATTCTACTTTTCTCTGCCGGACAAATCTCATTTCTACACTCTTTGTCTTTATAATGAGCAAATCCCAGGATCTGCTTAAGATTTAGACATACTTGATTTCACTGAATAAATGTTGTAAATAGAAAACAAAATTTTGAAAGAGATATTTCTTTGTTCACACACACACACAAAATGCGAAATAATGATTGTTTAACTCCATAAATGATAAGCGAACATTCTATGTGGCAACTCTAGGAATCACTTATGGTAGCCCTCTATTGATGAACACCTGTACGAAAGACAAACTACCACTGCTGTCCGCTTCAGTATATATAGATCAGTAAAGATGAATTTAAATTTATGGAATATTACATCCTTCAGTACTTAGTAAACAGTGAAGACACTATCTCAGCTTTGTTTCTTGTAGTTTATAGAATTTAGTGGAAAATTTCAAAAGGCATAAGAAAACATTGATTATCCATTACTAAAGCCTTAGGAATATAGAAGTAAAAGCTAAAAGTGTTTGTTCACAACTGCAAGTTGTTCATTGACTTATTCATTTATTAACATTGTAAATCATTAAAACTAACTAACTTCGCATCATCATAGAACAGAGTATAGAATGGCAGTCAACCCCCTACCTCAACTTTATCGACTTTGAGAAGGCCTTCGACAGCGTCGACCGAGAGGTAATTTGTCAGTTGCTTCAACACTACGGAATACCACAAACCTTTATCAATCTCATTCAACAGCTATATGAAGACGCCAAATGCCAAGTAATACACAATGGGAAGCTCAGTGATGCTTTTGAAGTGGAGATAGGAGTGAAACAAGGCTGTCTACTATCACCTATGATATTCCTGATTGTGGTGGACTGGACCACGCAGAAAACTGTGAGAAGCAACAAGAATGGAATACGCTGGAGAGAGGCAGGGCAGCGAAGACGGGACTTCAAGTGAGTATGGAGAAGACAGAGGTGATGAAGATACCCAACCAACAACAACAAGCTCCAATCACCATCGACGGGAGAAACTTAAAGGAAGTAGCCTCCTACACTTATCTAGGGACAAATAACAATATAATAACTTTTCCCTTCATTTGAGTTTTTATTTAGTTAAATTTTCATTATGTAGACTTTCAACTCAGTTACCAACTGTGTCAAATATTTTAAAGGTTCTTACATAACTACCATTACTGAGTTATTTTCTTCACCATAATCTAATGATAGCTTATTTTATAAACCATTTATATATTCTTTACCATTGGATGAAAATATTAATTACATTTATATGCGACTGCACAGCTCTTATGAATTATTCCACTGAATATAAATACGTTCACTGAACTCATTTGTTTAAAATATTACTTCTGTTGAATATTAAGTGAACTGTTTTACTTCTAGTTCAGGCATCTGAATGAAGTTTATTAAAGTAGCCAGTTTGTACAGTTCCGTTCAGACCGTCATATCTTCTAAGATTCATTAGAATAAGTTTAATGATTTATATTGTTACTAATATGTATAATCAATTTAACTGAATTCGATTAAAGTCAAACAACTTGTGTTCAAAATCTGTTTTGATGTAATTTAGTTAGATTTGGATTGAAATGAGAAATCCTGACTGGGTAAACAGTGTGATTACGATCGAGCGGGATTAGAGCGTCACGAATTCACATAGTATTCCAGAAAAATCCTTGGTGATTGAAGCAGAATAAAAATCTGGTTAGCAGATAGACCTTGTAGTTCAGACGGTAGAGCACTGGGCAGGAGACCCGGTGGTCGTAGGTTTGAATCCAGCTGCGGTTCAAATTTTCTTTTCGTCTGCAATCACCACCTAGTATCTGTTTTAATATGTTTGTAAAATTTAAGTTTCTTGAAAGTATAATTGTTTTTTATATCATACCGTCGTTGATTTGACCGAATTGATCGGTCTCTATCGTGGCTCGATAGTATAGTAGATAACGCCCTGGCGTTTGAAGTGATCGCTCCCGAGTCCGAATCCCAGCGGGAACAACATCACTCACTGGGATGCAGGTACATCCACCTAACGAGTCCCAAGTAGGACGAAATGCACATCCTGGATTCCACTGCTAGCCACGATCCATCATTAACATTCGTGAAAGTATATTGGATTTTATTGTGGTTGGCTTTATCATTTATGAAAATGTTTGTAGACGTACTAATGTGGTTACATAAGAATGATCAGTAATTCAGTCGTGTTTATATCTTCAGACATTTGTCTCATCTAAAATTTTGGTCACCACTTAATTAAGTAGCCTATTGTTAAGTTTGTAAGATCAACGACTTGAACTTGCCACTGCTAAGATTTATAAGAAAAGTATAAATTAAATATTTACGCAGGCAAATTTTATCTATCACTCAACTCTCATCATCATAAGGTCATATTTTTAGTAGCTACATATGAGTTATTGCAACTCGTTATACCTCGTACTTGTTATATACAGTTTACAAACACTATTCAGACTTTCAAGGTGAAGTAGGGTAAGTGTGTTTTCTAAAATGTAACTGAGTCATGGTTGTCATTGAACTGTAATGACTATTAGATTATACCTACATTGCTTAGGAAGTAATTCACTTCAAGATTACATTGCATGATAGTATTAAGTAGAAAGAATCATTCAGTACCATTATAAACTTGATTACACTGATAACCGTAAATGGCATGATATGAACAAAAGAAAACTTACCTTTGCTGGCTTTCATCGTCACTCATTTTGAGATGTTATAAATTGATTATGCAAATGAAGAATATCCTACAACGAGAAAGGTAACAGAAGATATTCTTAAGAATCCTCGAATATATATATACATATATATATATATATATATATATATATATATCTTTAGAATGAAGGCTTTATTAAAAACTAACCGGAGAAAAGTGAAGTGTAACTGCGCTTGGCACCTAGTGTGAAATGTACTGATAAAATAATCTTGACTTGATTACTTAACTTCAGTGTGTATTTCAACAACTATGTGGGCGTCTGCGATGCAGTGAGTGGATATATTTCTTACTTGGTATCGATCGAAATAAGGACACTACACGTATCCTTTAGTCACTTTAACAAGCACTAACACCCTTACACTCTTTCATTGTCAATCGAACCACACTCTAGGGTTGGCAACTAAGCTATGTTTGTGTGTGTTTATGGTAGGTTACCTTACAATCGATCAATAATCCAAGTGATATTGTTGTAGTAATATTCATCAAGCATTTTCCATCCCTTTCGCACTAACTAACCCAATGGAATACAACTATACAACGAATGTCTGTTTCATTCGTGTGTTGCTTATCCTTCTTTTCATCATTGGTTCCTGTATCACTCCTGTAGGCAGACTGTCTACTATTGATCAGATTAAGGACAGAAAGTTAGGTGATTTTTGTGCATTAACATGCAGTTGGGAATGCTGTTCTGTGTAATATATATTCACCACCCTCATCCCCAATAATCAGAAGGGTAAAATGTCGAAAAAACATTTCGTTGCAATGCATATCTCTGTTTATCCAAAAAGAGGGAAACTTGAATCAATAAAGCAGAATGTATAAGCCAATCTGTTGTTCTTTAAGTAATGATATTTAGAAAGGAGGAATTTGTTTGAAAGAATTAGGGAAAAATAGGTACAGATATAATATCCCGTCAGTCACACTATAAAAACAAAACTCATTTTTCATTCTTATCAGTACGCTTCATGCTAATGATAATAAATGTTGGGCATTGGAGAATTTCAAAAAAGATATCAGATTGTTTAATCGGGTTGTTTCTCTCTTCGAATTCATTAAAACAAAATTTAAACGCCCTAGTTTAGAAAGGAAACGAAAAAAGTCAGAATATATTGTTTCAGACTTCAGAATAGTCAGTAAAAATCTATAAATGTTCCGAAATATTTTATAAGCCGCAATTCAGCACAACCATATAACCTGGTGGGGTCGTGGGTGCACACTGCTAAGGAGCCCCATGCTAGGACGAAACAGCTGCCCAGTGCTCCCAGGTCTCCTTTGTTTCCCCAGCTGATGTCAGTCTACGATGAATAACAACTTGAAATATTTCCAAATCTCCACAACTCCCTCAAAATCCAATTGAACTGGTGCTCAGTGGTGACTAGCTTCGAGAGGTATTCGAGAAGTTCGAATGAGAAGTCGTGACCGATAGAGTTAAAGCCTGATGGTCGTGAGGACAGTTACTCGACAATGACGTTGGGTGGTAGTTGCGCTATATCTTATGAGCTAACAGAAGTTGGAAATGTGGACCACTGGGTTCTGACCCAGTGGCTCAATGGTAACGTGCTAGCCGCGGCAGTTGGAGGTCACGGGTTCGATCTCTGGGGGGGTTGTGGGTGCGCACTGCTGAGTAGTCCCACACTAGTCGGACGAAACAACTGTTCAGCGCTCCCAGGTTTCCTTTGTTTCTCTAACTGATGTCAGTCTACGATGAATAACAACTTAAAAGTAAATCATTTTCATGAGTCAATTAATCCGTCGAGTTCAACCGTTTTGGTTGCCATAATCATAAAAATCCATAAATCACAGTATGTAAAAAGTTAAAAGAGAGAAAGAATACACTGGAATTCAGAATAAAAGCCATAACGATGTATACGAAGAGTGAGAAGTTACGACTTGAAGTGATTGTTCGAAAATAGCATCTCAGTAATGACATTGACACCCAAAAGCAGTGTAGTGTAAAATTCTACAGCAGTTTCATTTGGAAGGTGAGATGTTTACAGTGGGAAGTGTAACATGTAATATCGTCAGACAGTTCACATTACTAATAACATTTCATGCAGTTTGAACACCTTGGTCATCAAGGATGAATCAGTTTAGGTTCCTTACTTGATTCTCAGAAAGAAAGAATTATTGTTCAGCTCTTAAATCGGTTCAATCTAGTTAACAAGCAAAGATGATGGGTCGACATTATCTTCTACCATTTACATCAGCCAGTATGATGCATTGTACAATTTATGAAACATTAACAAAAAACGATTTCTACTTAGGCTCATTATTAATAGATTTACCAAAGGAATTGACTTCACTGGTTTCGATATTGCCGTAGAGTCGGTGAAATTTCAAATCTAGACGGAACACTTATCTACCTATCTATCTCATTACCTTTTGCACTAATATTTACTAACCAGTAATTATTGACTTGAACTCAGAAAAGTTTTCCATACAAACCAACTTCACTTGAATTTCAATGAGAAGATATCGGTTTTCTTGACTTAAGAACCTTTGAGTTAATTTAGTTTTTTCTGTAAATAAATCTAGCTCACATGTCGCTAAGATGGCATTGCATGAAATCTTCATGTATAAAGAATGAAATTGTTTATACTCGAATACATGTGTTGAAGTGTTGATGTTACAATCTTTTACGCAACCATGGTCAAAAGAAGCTAAATTGTCACATTAGAAACTTTATAGTTGTTTGTTTTATGTTTGTAAATTGATCTGGTTTTCCGACTGAAACAGCTGAACAAGCCTTAAATGAATCTTTTTTCATTTCCACTTAATACAGTATTAAGAACTCCAAGTATTTTTTTCTGGGGAAAGTAGTATTTGAAAGGTTCAATTTGATTTCTTAGAACCTTATATTTTTCACAGTTTTCAAAATACTAACTACTGTTCTTTTATTTAGCTTCAGTAGTTGTTAAAGTCAGGTGGCCACTTTAAAAACTTCTTCCTGATGGTTTTCTAAACGGTGTCTGTATTTACACAGTCAAGTTTCACACTCCATTTATCTTTGAAGTCGTCTAGGTAAATGTTTTGTCACCCTTAACCGTGTGGCTCGATTACTCCTCTCTATTTATGTGACCACACATATATGTAAACTTGTAAACATAATGAAATGTGACGCAATCATCTGTACAATGTTTAGCTTTTTGGTGAAGCACATGTTTCTTTGTCTGCACAATAATAAGCTTAACCGATATATATATATATATATATATATATATATATATATATATATATATAATTATTTGTCCCTTGGGTTCCTAGTGGAACACACCGCTTCAGTAGCATGTCTCCAATGCATTCTGTTCTCTGAAATCTTTTGAACCTGGCTCCACGGTAGCCCAGAAGCTCTCCTTTCCTCCTCGCATGATCTCCTCCATGTCACCCTCACTTCAGACGTCCAGCCCGTCGCTTCCATCCAGGTTCCACTCGGAAGCATGGCCTGGCGTATGATGTCTCCAGTAGGCCTTCTCAGTGTATGCCCAATCCATCTCCACTTCCTTCTGCATATTTGTTGAGCGATAGCTTCTTGGTTGGTTCGTTCCCAGAGTAAGTTCCTTGTTGCTTATATATATCGACTGACTGTCTGTCTGGAGCTCATTTGTTATAATTTCCTTTTATTCGAAAGTAGTTAGGGAAGTTTGGCGCTGCTGAGACATTACACCATGTTTGTAAATAAGCAAATTTCTCAATAGATTAATCATGCCTCTCTAAGTATCCTGAAACACCTTTAAATAGCTTCTGCATGTGTTGTTAGGATATTGTCAACAAATCAGTTGCAATATGCATACAAATAAACAAAATCAGAGTATATATTCACCTTTCTTCGTACGAAGATGCTTGGTTTTATTTTTCTTACGTAAATTATAGGGCACTTGAAATAACCTCACCATCTTTATTTATCAGTATGGCCACATTCTATGATAGTGGCTTGAAATTTTATTAAGTATATCAATTATTGATGTATAGATTGTTATTAGGTTACGGTGAATTCTAGACTTGACCTTCGATTTTTCGCGTTTATTAGTTCAGCCTTATGCTGTGCATAATCTACTTAACATATCTTCCCAACAAAGCATAAATCCAGGAAAACACAAGGCTTCAATGATGACTTCATACTCACCAAGACAATCACTCTAACCATACTGAGTGGGAATAGTTGAATTCAACAAGTATTTCATACTAAATTGGACTGGGTACTGCGGTAGGATGTAATTCCATATTAGGTTTATTTATTATATATACTGAAAACGTTTGATTCTCGATACAAATTTAAAATAAGCAACAAACGTAATTAAAGTAGGATTTATCGAATTCATAAATTTTAGTACGACTCATCACCTTTCTACTCTACATACTTGAGTTTATATATTGTTATACAATAAAGGAATACATACACATATAATAAAATAGACCAAGACATTTACTGAGGCATGACAACATGGTGTGAATCATTTATCCATGTGAAACAGAGCTAAGATTCGGTTGGTAGGAGGTAACGAGTTGAAAATGAAAAAATGAAAGGACAAGGGATAGATTACGTCACTTTTCAACACAACAATTAGTAGCAATCAGAAAAGACAGTCAGGAAAATACATGACTGCAATCCTCGACACATCCATCTGTATATACCAAATTGAAGGTACTTGTGGAAGCAAATACATAGGTTGCACGGAAAAATGTCTGTCTACTAGCATGACTGAGTATTTACCTAAATGCCTGAGGCAAGCCGGGTCGGAAATCCCGTGGATTTCGACCACGAGACACCTAGTGGGTTATCGACATGGTGTTGACACCACTAAAGCCTTCTGGGTTGTTAGCAGACAGCGGAGGAAGAAAATGCTCGCAATTTTGAAAGCATGTGCTATTAGAGTTCATAAACCGACACTATGTGTACAGAGAGAGATAGTAGTCACCTTGAATCTACCATAGTAAAGGTGTTGAAGTATTTTGGACTTTTTATTTATATTACTATTTATTGACATACTTGTTATTCTCTGTTGTTTTGTTGGATCGAATTCCATATGCCAATAGAGGTCGAACAATTCGATCCAACAAAACAACGGAGAATAAGAAGTATGTCAGTAAATAGTAACAACTACTACTCGTTGTACAAGAGGCGGCTATCGTTCCACTCTGGTATAGTGGATAACGCCCTGGGGTTTGAAGCGATAGGTACGCGGTTTGAGTGTCAATGGGACAACATCGCATGGGTGTAGGTACATCCAGCTAACGAGTCCCTAATGGGGTGAAACGCGCGTCCTGGGTTCCTATGCTAGCCACAATCAGTAAAAAATTTTCTTATTTATTTATATTTGTAAATGTCTTATTTTCCCACTTTATTTCTTCCTATACTTCACATATTTGCCTCTTCATTAACAATCTGCTGTA